AACTAGTGGCTTTTTGTCCTCGCACTGAAGTGGGTCCATGACATGACTCATGCACTTTTGGTCACCAAAATACAATTTATGCTGGTATTAAACTCCACCTACATAGCTAGAGGTGCTTCCTGATTAGTCACTTACATTGATCAGCTCATTGCTGGATGTGTCGTGGGTGTGTGTGATCAAGCTGATATCTCTTTGGTGTGATTACACACATCCACATTCATACAGCAATGATACATGCAAACATGATTGCAGAGGCATATATATAAACACATCACATATCAAGCCATCTTCACATCAACTTGACCTCAATTGTTTTAGGTAACTTTGCTAGGTGTGATGGATGTATCGACCGAATCTAGATACATTGTACGGACCGTCCTGAAGACGAGTTAGTCTAGTATTTGGAGTTGAAGAACAAAGCTCAATAATGAAGATCAGCCCTTGAAATCTAACCACTTTGTGTTGTGTATTCTGTTGTTGTGGAACAAAGGACCTGGGGACAACGGGTAGAGGAAACCACTCGTAACACAGGCTTATCATGATATCAGATGAGGAATAATAAGACATTTTTATGTTGTTTGTTATGGTCTCTGTTTACTGGGTTGACCCAGTTAGTGATGCTCGGCCCGACGAGCTGAAGACCGGCAGGTGTTCCAGCTACAGCACTATTACAAATCCATGTATTTTCATAACGGTTAAACGGAACCGCCCGCATACTTTTAACGGTTAAACGTTTAGCACAAAAACCGTAATGACTCAGGCTTAGTCTATTTTGTTTGTTATAGCGCTTAGAAACTTTGGTGGTAAGTGCTTTATAAGTAACGTTTTTATCATTATTAATATAGCTACGAGTCTCAGTCTACCATTTGGGAGGTGGATGCTGTATAGAGTCTACCGAGAGCCCGCTGGTCCCGTCAAAGAGGTCTTCGGCCCTGAGGCACTGGTGGAGATGGAGAAGAGAAGAGACGGCCCTCCTGCAAGGAGAAAGGTGAGAAGTAGTCACTGTCATACACACTTATACATGTACAGTCAAACCAGGACCCTGTTTCATAAAACTTGTTATCAATAACAAGTTACAAGCTACTGTTATAAGCTACTGAAATCATGGCATCTGATTGGCTGAGAGCAAATTTTGTCATAGAAATTTAGCATTTGTTATAGATTAAAAGTTTTATGAAATGGGCCCCTGGTTTAAGTGACCACCTGTCTACAAAGACCACAATTTTGCTTCCCTTGAAAATAGTTTCTCATTGATTGATACATGTGCTAAAGGAACCTGTAGTTAAAGATCACCTGTCTGTAAGGACCACTTTTCTTGTCTCCCTTGGGTGGTCTTTATACAAGGTTATTGGAAATACTCCTGTACCCCTACATAGCTTTATGTGTAGAATTGGCTCCTATAGGTCTTGTGTGTATTTGCGAAGATTGGTGTAGGGGGCAGATCGTACATGAGGAAAGAAAAAAATGTTATGTAAAATTTCATTTCTTACTTGGAAATGTAAGTAGATTAAAACCTGCTTCCATTGATTTTGGTGTTAATTTTTAACTACGGTAGTGCAGCAGTGAACAACATTTATATGAAGTGAGTTTTGACAAATAGAGACATCCTCTGTACTCTCAAATTACTTTCAACTCTCTTGCAGGCGAAGGGTCAGTCGGACAGTACGGACGGTCAGTTTCATTCCACGGAGCAGCCTGATTACGAAGACTACAGAGCAAAAGCAACCCTGCACTTCAATCAGAGAGACGAGTGCTTCAAGAAAGCAGCCAAGGCGTATCGCACTGGAAAGAAAGAACATGCCTCATATTACTCCAAACAGGTATGATATGCACAAGCTTGCAGATTTAAAGCCCCACTGCACTACTTATAGCTACTTGCGCCCTCTATATACAGCAAACAATGCCCAAGCGGTCACTGTTGATCCCCCATGATGCCATTTTACTTATGTTGCTGATTTGATGAGATAACCACATGTCAGTGACCTTGCAGGGAGGTCTAATCCCTCTGTGCGAAACTAGAGCAGAGGGGCTTTAAGGGAGAAGACTGGCCCATGTCACCCCTCGTATTTGTGTGAAAACCCCAACAAGTACATAAAAAGACTCTCATTACGTCTGACCCTCGTAGCTCGCAAACCCGAGTAAATGGCCATAAAGTCGGGTATTAAAATACCCCCTTCTTTGCTTGCTGTGCAGGAGGAGGCCTAACCCAACTGATCAACTTGTTTTCCAAACATAGTTCGCGCTACTTTCCGTCTCTCTCTCTCTCTCTCTCTTTCTCTCCGACTTTGTTTCTTTCAGGCTGCCTCCTTCAGTCTCTCTCCCCTCTCTCTCCTCTCCTTTCTTTCTATCTCTCCCTTCCCTAGTTCTCTGTCTCTCCCACCTCTCTCTCTCAATCCCTCTCTCCTCATGTTTATTTATGTCTGTCTCTCGATCCATTCCCTGGTGTCCGTCTCTCTCTCTCTCTCTCTCTGAAATTTTAATTCTCTCTTCTCTCTTCTCTCTCTGTCTCTCTCTCGATCTCGATCTCTCTCCCTCTCTCTCTGGTTGGCGGCCGCTTTTCTTCTTCTTCTTCTTCTTCTTCTTCTTCTTCGATCTTCTGTTTCTTCTTCTTCTTCTTCTTCTTCTTCTTCTTCTTAAAACATTATTTAAGTTCTTCAAATACATGTGGTACATGAAAGGTTCTTTAATGTCACTGTCTTCCTTTTTAAAATATTTTTTTCTTCCAGGGACGCTTACAGTCCATGGAACTGAAGGAAGCTAACAGAAGAGCAGCTGAATTGATTCTGGTTCAAAGGTGAGCAGTGTTTTTACTGGCCTTCATCTCAAAGCAAAGCCTTAATAGATGTTTTTAGGGTGTTTTGTGGAATTATGAAAATAAAAAAAGGATAGAAAAGGGAGAGATAAGAGAACATCTGATTTTATCATGCATTTACTAAAGGTTCAAATTGATATTATCAATCTTTTGATATTGCTTGTACAAAGTTATATAATTAGTAATTCCTACCATAAGCAAGTACATTGCTGTGTTAGTGTCTTCATGACAAACCTTTTGAATACATACTCATCCAAAATGTTGTTTCGTGGTCGAATGGATACGTCACCGGACTGCCACAAGGTCCGCGGTTAGAGTCCCGCCACTGCATCCTTTGGCAAGACATTGATCTACAATTGCCACACTCAACCCAGGTGATGTAAATGGGTACCTGGCAGGAATTGAATTCCTTGATATGCCTTAGCGCCTTATAATGGCCTTATAAATGGCCTTATAAATCGCCTTATATACAGCCGGGGTGATAATATGATACCTTGTATTAAGCATAGTAGAGTATATTCATATAGTAGCTGCACTATATGAATGGACCTATTATTAAAAGAGTCACTCGTTTCTTGTACTTGTGCTGTGTGGACAATTTTGAATAATGTGAAGTCCCCCTGTTTTGTCATGTCTAGGAAACATGTTACTGGTGAGAACAAGCTTGATCTCCACAATCTTCACGTGGAGGAAGCCCTCCAGGCTCTGCAGGAGGTCCTGATCGAGAGGCAACGAAACCCCTCACCCGGGCAACACAGGTACCTAGAGGTGGTGACAGGGCAGGGCAAGCACAGCAAAATGGGCGTGGCCAAGCTCAAACCGGCTGTGTGCAAGTTTTTGGAGCAGAAAGGTTACAGGTAAAAGCTTGTGATTATTTTCCCTTGTAGAATGGAAGGATTGATTGCTGTGAAAGAAAAGTTGCAGGAAGTCAAGCTGCATGAAAACTATTTGAATTATCTGAATGTAATCACACTGCATCTATTTCTTTCTTATCACATGGTCTTCTTTAATACCACGCTATGGAAAGTTTGCTAAATTTGTTTTTGTGCTGATCATTGCCTTCAAGGCAATCTTTTTTTGTGTGTTTTCCTGTGACGTACTAGATCTGTGATTGCTTGTGAGCATTTAGATTCTGTGGTACCTCAATCATAACAAAGTTATGAAACTAAATGATTTACCCTTCAGTAGGTTGTGTTTGTGTTGGTGGGTTGCCTTGAACAGAAAACAATGGATTGTGCTTTATTAGAGTGTACTCATTTTGGTGTCAGAAAAGTAAAGGACTTATACATATTACTTGACACCAAATGTGGTACAGCATGTAATTTTCACATTTTTGTGTATATTATATATTATATTCTAGTACATTGCTTAGTAAAAGCATAAAACCAACATGGTCTCTGTGCATTTTAAAACAGCACTTTATTAATGTCACAAAAATTTAGATTGCACATTCAAAAACAATTGTGTTTTCAGCTTGGATTCAAATCGATCCAGCTGAGTGATATTCCCTAATAGAATACTAGTTTGTTTTTTTTGTTCAAAAATACATTTATTGATAATCTGAATGACGTTTTGGATGATCTTTATTGATGGAACAAATGTACAAATCTTATGAATGCATGGCAATTGATAAACCTTGGAGATTTAATATTGGAAGTCCATAAGCATGAAGAATTTCCATTATCACTCGTCGCATTCACCATTTTGATAGCAAACTACATGTGAAAATGGATACCTGTCCATTGAGAGCCAAGTAATAGAAAAAATATGGGCCAACAGCCTTCTGGTTCTCGCAGATGATGTCATCTGTTTGGAGCCAGAAGGGCGTTAACTCTTTATTCATACACTTTAATACAGAGTTAATGCCCTTCTTGCAAAGAGATTTCACAACTTTCTACTCTGTACATATAGACATAATTACATGTATAATAAATAAATAATAATAATTGGATTTATATAGCGCCTTTTCTATAGGATACAAGGCGATGTCTCTTAGACTATCAACAATTTAAGAGGAGTTGAGCAGGTAGGTTTTCAAGTGTTTTTTGAAAAAGAGTCTTATGTACTTGTAGTACTGTTTCTTAAGAATGAGGGGAGTTTGTTCCAGAGACATGGGGCTAAGGACTGAAAGGATTTGAAACCAGGTCTTTTGCTCATTTTTTACTTCTCCTTGTTATTGACTTTGCAGCTTCACCGCACCCAATGCCGGCTGCCTCAAAGTGGATGTCTAGCCGAGAGCAGTGCCATGATCCTTGGCTACCTGACCACTACACCAAACGTGTCAGGTTTAGGTCAAAGAAATCATAAGACTTGCTAGGATACTACAACAGGGTTACAATATGACCCCCATGTACACAAGGAGTAAGAGATGTGTGAGAACTGGATTAGATGTCGTAAAGAAATTACAAGATCTTTATCTTCGGGTTGCAAGCCAAAAGTTTCTTCACAACAATAAGATAAAGAAAAAAGAACAATAACAATTTCAATAAGGAAATTAACAATCTTCCTGGGCAATACCCATTCCTATTTGTTTACATTTTAACAATATAGGATTTTTATTTACTTTAGACATATGTTTGTGATGTGCAATGTGTACAAAATGATATAAACTTCTCATCACTTTGTCAGATGTAAGGTCATCTTTTTTATGCTGCATACTTGGAAATCTCATTTCTACATTGTATATATTTGGAAGAAAATGTGAGGTATTTAGTGATGTATCTTGCTCCATAAAAAAAGAGAATGTTTAAACATAATGGAAGAACAATATTGTAATCATTGGAAAAGTGTTTGTTCCATCATAGATTATATTTTTATGAAAAAGTTCTTATTTTATATCTTTCATCCGATATTCCGGACTTGCATGCATTCTTCTTTATTACTTTTCCTTGCTATGGGGTGATGTCCAATCTCTGAATTTTTGATATTTCATAATAATCATGTATGCTTATTTTGATTATATAGTTCATCATTTCATATTGCGTATATATATTTTCATTTTCATACCTGTAAAGTTGGAGTGGAAATAAATTCTGATTTCAACTTTGCCAATTTTGTTTTATCTTTGCGATGATATGTATAGGATTGAGAGTAAGAGGTAGAGATGAATGAAAGTGTCGGGAATGAGCTTGAATTGGCAACAAAATAGTATTATTGCAATGCTTCTACATCAATAAACATAGATAAAGCAATTTTTGTACCCTGTGGAAAATATATCGAGGGGTCAGTGACAAAAGGACGTTACTCTATTTTGGCCATTTTGAGAAAAAGTGGTTTAGATCTATGTGTCACTGAGCACTTGGGCCTTAAGGAGTTAAGTCTATGTTTCACTAGCCATTGACTTCAATGGGGTGTTGGGTGGAGTTAAGTTTTTGTGTTTCCTGGAGAGCCCACATTTTTCTGAACATTTTGATTTCAAATACTCATTTTGGCAAAATATGGAGTTACGTCTTTGTGTCACTGTACCCTCGATATGATGAAAATGTATGGTGAGAAGCAACATTGAAAGGATGGAAACAATGATGTGAACAACATTTAATTACACAATTCAGTCAAAATAATCTATTCATATGAGCAGTAGGAATTGTGAGCATTTTGATAAGTTTCTCTCAAAAGATGAGATTTCCGCACTTTTGCCAGATTTGTTTGAGCAAATATCAATGTATTTAAAAATCTACTTTGTTCAAATTTATCATTGATTCAGAACTGGAAGAGAGCTAATGTGATAATCACTGTTTTAACATCTAGATCTTATATTTTTTTTCCTGTTGACTTGTAATAGACCAATACAAATCATCATTAACCATCAATGATAAGTTGGATGTTTTAATCGGTTTGAATCATACCCAGTCAAGTAAATTGTATGTTTCATGGGATACTCTGGGTGGTGGGGGGGGGGGGGGGGGTGCTCAGTGCAACCCATTTTGAGTTGCACTTCCTCAATAAGCATCGTGTCAAATTATTGTCACAAATCTATCAAGAGAACTTTAAAATACCCGAATGGAATTTCCATATATTTATTAAAGGTTCTCAAACAATAACAACAAACAAGAGAAGATATATATTTACACATTTACAGGGTACAGAGGCCAGAAATAAAGATAACATTATTGTAGAGTAGATAACAAAAAAAGTAGTACAGCTGTACAGAGTTCATTCGCGTATACGTCTCATTTCTATAATCGTCTAAGATTATGCTGACAGAGATATGAATTAAATTCTTTCAAAATAACAATACACCTCTTCGAGATAATGGTTTGCCTTTGGTTTTCCCCAGTTCTGCCATATCCCCCCCCCCCCCTCCCTCCCAACCACCACCACAAACAACAGCTGTATGATTCAATATCACGGGATATGAGATCATAACAACTGAAGAAAAGACGCGTTTTCCATTGACTGAGCGATATGAATAGAACCAAACTAATCAATTAAATCTTCAATCCATGCGCTGATGTTTATTACGTATGAATGTACAGATGGCAGTTGTGTTGCTACCTGTGTGGGAGTCGGTGTTTATGACTCAATTGATGTGCCTTTGTAACGAGTCCACCATCATAATCATATAACCATCAGCGAATAGACTCTGTTAAACTGGTTGGCAAATGATAATAATGATGCTAGGTCCATGCTTGGAGTCTGACTAATTTTGTTCAAATCAATCGGATGCGTAGCTATTGGGAAACGTGGGTGCTTCAACTGACGGCACAACATCTTCCTGATATAGATTAATCGTTCAATTGGACGATCAAATATAAAATTAGGTCTCTTAAAATGTTAGAATACTGTAGAAAATGTAGCTCTTACTCGAACTAAACATCACATTATTCTGTAAACATTATTCTAGTGATAATGTTCATATTTATCGTCCATTAAGCGATAGAAATTTGTGGTATTTACATTTGTATGGATGTATATGTAAAATTCACATAACAAAAAGAAAAATTCAATAAGATATATTTTGAGTCAATAGAAACAGAAAAGGAAGAAAATAAAACCAATAAAGATAGAATGCAGTCATTGCAGGAATCACATCTCCAAGATGAAGGCTCCTTGTTTTCAAGATGACTATGGTCGAGGCACCTGTCTTTTTCCTCCGTTACACTCCCAAACTGGGGAATCCCCTTCAAATTATTGTGCAACTCTTTCGATGGGAATTCCCACCGTGATGCGCCGCAGTGAATAAAATGCTCAGCGCGGGCATGCAGTCAAACTCCTTTGTGAATTCGGGCCTGTACTAGTATTTACGGAATGTATAGAGGAGTTGGTCAGTGATTGGCATGGGGTACTCACATATTAAAACACACGTGGATACGGGGGTCGCTTTTTCACAAAATATATCCTTGAACATGGGTCCAATTTTTTACAAATATATCATTAAACATGGGTCCGTTTTTCCAAAGTTTTAAAAAATTTGTATTTTTTCTTCTTCTTCCAAAATGACCCTTAAAATGGGGGTTACGAGGCTTGAGCGGCGCACCCCGTCCAAACCAACTCTCAGTACCTCCCCCCCCCCCCCCCCCCCCCTCGGGATTAAATGTAACCTTTCACACGGGTCCGCCTGACTTAATTACTTTGTCATTAACAAAATCATTCCGTGTCTTTGATTATTCTGTGCCTCGGCCTCTTGGCCTGTCTTTAACTTAGATAGGCTGCATAACAGCTAGAATAGCTAGAATACTAGAAGAAGAAAAAGGATGAAGAAGATTTAAGAAGAAGAAGCAGATGAAGAAGAACGGTGCCGGGGAACGGTGGCGGAGGGGGAACCGCCTTGGTTATACCTCCCCCTGCCCCCTGCCCCCTGTCCCCTGCCCCCTCCCCCTGCCCCCACCCACCCCCACACCCACAGTGGTCATGCAGTGAAGATAAAAGGGGAATTCCCCGATTTTATTTTAGGGAGCCGGAGCACGAATATAATCCTTCCGCAATAGTAATTAAACAATGTGCTCAATTTTAATAGATAGTCAAATGTATTAATAGAAGAAGACAAAAGAAATATATGAATATTAAACTATCAGTCTTCCTTTAAAAAATGTAATTTTAATTGAAAACTGAATGCTCAAATTTGCATTAATGCCCGCGCTGGGATATTTTATACACGATTGTGTGAGCCCAACCAGTCCAGTGCAGTGCATGCAGTCGTCATGTAGACAGAAATCACGAGATGCGAAAGAGCTCTGACAAGTATGATTGAGTTCAAGACCGAAGATGAGATTCTGACAAAACGGGACAGACTGAACCGTAATGGAACATAACTGCCAATGTTAACTGTTAATACATGTAAGTATATTAACATATATTTTGATCTGTAATTTAATTGTTGTCAGTTAGAATCTTGTCATAAATATGTACCGGTATTGTTGTCGTCGACGAATTACGCGCATGGTATTCGAGCTAGGCGTACGCCTTGGCAGAAGTACCCGAGAGCTCGGGCAGCCACAAACGCTGACAAAAGGCTCGGCTCGGCAAGGAAGGTCTGCACTCGTCTTGATCTCATCTACTCGTACTCGTACTCGTAGGAAGATCTATCATTTATATTTTAAGAACATATAGATCTACGTTAGGTCTATGCACACATAGGAGCATCACTATCCTAACTACTAAAAGCTGTGCTTTTGATTCTCAACATTTCAAACACCACTGTACAAAACTCAACTGATTTCACTCAAAATCGGTACTTTAGTGACAATTGATGACATCTAAATAGCTGTAAAATACATTTTTTTTTAACTTACTGATGTCAAAAAGAATAATTTAAAAATTCAAATTGTAAGTCTAGTGTCAAACTTTGCTTACAGCTGCATCGACATGACTGTGTACCAGACCTTCATTTCTAAGGAGCGCGATCGCGCCGGCGCTCCTACAGCGCTCCTAAAAAATAATCAGGAGAGTTGTTTACAGCGCTCCTTGGTTTCAATGTTTTCCTTCAGTTAAAAATCCCGTTTAGGGTGCATGTTTGTGGCCGATCGCACCGGCAAAATTGTCAACAAATCGCCATTTTAAGCTTCTAGCAACTTGTCAGTCATTCTCCGAAACAATGCATGTCCTACTAAATATTCATGTCATGAACACTATAACTTCGTCACAAATTTCAACCACTTACATTTATTAGTAAGTACCGGTACTGTACCCACTGAATATATCTTAGGGTTCAATGAGTGTGCTGTTATTGGATTTGTTTGTTCTAAGGTTTTGACCACCATGGTGTTAATGTTAAAGTTAATTGTTGAATGAAACGTGTGCCTCTGCCTTGGAGGGGTGATTTATATGAGCAAGTACCGGCAGCAAATAACGATTCAAATGTTTCCAAACATTCAAGACATTTGCTTGATGAGTATGTAGGCCCTGCTGTACGTGCAAGCCTATACGTGAGTGATGATGGAATTGTTGACATGGTGACTGTAACAAGAACAGTGATTGAAAATTGAAGAGTTAAATAATATTAAAATGTGTTTGTTGTTTAATGTTGTTCCAAAAACTGAACTGTTAATTTAGAAGGCTGGTGACTGTGAGACAGACTAAAGATGACGAAGTTCTTTATATCATCAGATTCATTGTAACATTTAAACTTTGAATTGAAAACATTTGAAAATTGAAATAGTTAAGCTGAATTAAATAAATTGACTGGATGATGATCAGATTGACAGATTTTGACTATTAAGTTGAAGTTGGAATGTAAGTGATATTGGATTCAATTGTTGACATTTTTACATGGTGCTGACAAGAATAGTGAATGTGATTGAAAATTGAAGAGTTAAATATTTCGTTCGTCGTTTAAATTGTTTGACATTGTTTAACGTTGTTCCAAAAACTGAACTGTTAATTTACAGGGTGACTGTGAGGCAGACTGAAGTTACTTAAGTTGAACATGAATGGTAATAATAACCAGCAGTATAATCACCTCCTCAAAATTAAGATGAAATAATTGACCTCTAAGTCTAAGCTAAAGTAGAGTGGACCAAGCAAACTGAGTTGCAAATTCAGTTGATTATGATGATGATAATTGAGTGTACTGCAGTAACTTGAAACTTCAATAAATGAAACAACACGGTTGTCAGTCAGTTAACACTTGTTTGATATGTATTACAGCATTTTGAACCCACACACAATAATACAAGGTAAAAACATCAATTTTCAAATTGAGCTCCTCACTCTCTCCAGGAGAGTTATTTGAGGAGCTCAATTTGAGCTCCTTGGCAAAACAAGGAGTGGGATTAATAGAGCTCCACCAAATTCTAGAAATGAAGGTCTGGTGTACAGTCTATGCAATAATGTGTGGTGTGTATATTTGTGTATGGGTATAATAATACCCGCCTCACGGCAAGCATACAGTGCTAGAGGTCAATACGCATTAGCCTTGACTCTCTATGCTTTGCTGGAGTGGGTCTGTGTACTAAAATTCTAAATCTATACTGTCTCGTACTCGTACCAGTCGTAATGAGCGCTAGTGTACTTCGTATCCACATTTTTACCGTAACTCTGGCGTGAATATACCCTACTGAAACATACCAAAAATGAACATCTTCAATTGTTCAAATAATGGTTATGATATAAAGTTGTTATATTTCTTACTCATTTCGTGTCAATTTTCTTTACCTTTTTTGGAGTATTTTTCCCAGAAACGAAAACATTATAATTACTTAGAACCGTAGCCAAGGCTGAACCGCCGAACCGAACGGAAGTATGCCGAATATGGCACTTCCGATTCCGAACTGAACCAAACGCGAAGGCCTGGTTAGGATGTTCGGCAGAAAAGTGTATACGTTTTCGCAAGCTAATTAACTTGTCATTTTGTACCTGATTTTCATGTCATGATTGCTCACTTCATATTTACTTTTCCCCCATTTTCATTTATGCCTATCCAGTGGTGGGCGCGACTTCACTAGTGCCATTTAAATCCCAAATCCTGCCCTCTGCTACGTCGTGATCGCAAGCCATAAACAAGAATACATGTGCGTTCTAGGCACTGATCAAAACAAGTTCAGCTCAAACCCATTCAACCAAAAAATTAATATTTTAATTGTATCAATATCGGACAATTTTACAATATAAATAATGAAATTAATCTATATTATAGTATGTTACAGTATGTAATTATTTAGGAAAAATAGAGATTTTATTATATTCCCTATTGAAAATAAACACTTATAAAAAAACAGTTATCTACGAGCCTAGGCTGCTATTCAAGATGGCAGCTTTCATGACTCGTAACATTAGACAACAATCGTCTCAGCAAATCTTTAAAAAATATCATTTATTGACAATTGAAAACATGATTCTTTTAAAATTGCAAATAAAACATGATTCAAGAAGGAAATACGAATGTAATTACTACTTTTCTTCAAAAATAGTTACGTTTAGACCAGTTTTTTTTAATGTGAAATTCATGCTGGTCGGAAGCAGTGTTTTTCATCAGGAGTGGGCAGAAGTCCTCAGTGCTGGTCGGCCCGGCTGGCCGGCCCGCCCAGTGCCGACCACCGTAGCTATAACGCTGCTTGCTATCATATTACCGAACCTCGAACCGAAGCAAGTTCGGGTGAAAAATTGCTGAACCGAACTGAACACGAACATGGCGTCTGACTTACAGCACTAATTACACATTACTCTGAGGTTGCAAGGCAAACCGCTGCACAATTACAATACTACCGACGAAGGGGTAGGGGCGCGCGAGCGTCGCCGTGGGTGAAGTTATCGACTGTAATCTCAGATCCTCATTAAACTCATGTTAGTAGTCCATGGGATGACAATGATGACTATATTACGATCGCTAACTTCATGCACGCTGGCCCGTCCGCACCCCTTCGTTGGTATATGGATGCAATTATATTGTAAATTGTGCAGCGGTTTGCCGTGAAACCTGTGAGGAAGTGTACACATAGAACTTTAGCTTACATTTATTACATGCGCATTACGTTCATCCGATCTATTTTTTTCCCCCTTTTTATTCTTCTTTTTTTCTTCTGAATAGTTAATAGTGAACTAATTAAAGGAGGCAGCGGCCAAAAAGGAACTCTTAATTTGTGTTACTTGGCCTTATATCTAAAACTTTAATTGGTGCATGAAAGTTTCAACACTTGCTGGTCTCTTTGGTATACCAGTGTCTATATGAATGATGTTTACAAGCTCGTTGTTAGAGGAAAATAACAGAAGGCTAAAAATACATTGTACATTTTCATAAAGTGCATCTATTCATTATCTTGTGGAAGACCTTTAAAATATATCAACTCCTCTGGTAATTGCAAGCATTTCAGGTTTCACTTTGAGCCTAATTAATGTCTTTAACTTTTTGGCAATCAGTACCATACTACAAGAGAAAACACAACAGGAAAAAAATACACAGGGCTCGGGGGGAATAGCCCCCGAAATGCCAAAAAGAGCCCCCGAAAGTCATAAAAGAGCCCCAAAAAATTGCATAGAGTTCAATGCAAAACAAAATAAATGGTGTTATTTTCATGCAGGCAAAAGTAGCCCCCGAAATGTTTAAAGCATTTTTTCCCCTGAAACACAACTGTATTTTGTGTGCAGGACTCCTGCCATTCTACAAAAATAGTTGATAGCTGTACTTGACCTTGTACATGTGTAATGAGTTAATACATGTATGTTTTTAATTGTTCAGGAATGACAGATGTGTTGCGTTATAAATGCCTATTGTTTGGTTGTTGATTCTTATTAGTCAAACCTGCTGTTGTATCAACCTACATGTACACGTATGCATCCAGATAGAGTTAGACCACCTGTTACTAGTAGACCTACATTTTTTTGTTTCCCTTGAAGCAATGCTTTTCAATGAAAGTTGTGAAACCTGGAAACCTGTGATTTTGTAAATTGTATTGTATTTATTCAATCATTCAGTAAAAAACCAAACATGTCTAGGGAATCTAGGGATGCAGGAAAAAGGTTTGAACTTCCCAATAAAAATGATAACAGTAATCAAATATAACAAGATACATGATCATAACAAACAAGGAAATACATTTGTGAAAATAGTTAATAATAATAATAACTAGAAATTTAATTCGTCACGAAGACGAATAAGGTGGTCTGTCTAAGTCTTATGATAGATTTGAGAATGGGAGAAGTTATATAGACATGTAAACAATGATGATCATGATAAACATGATGATGATCATGATAGTAAAGGTGATGATGATGATGATAATGATAATGTTATATGATGATAAAAACGATAATGTTAATGATTATGATGATAATGATCATGATCATCATGATGATGATGATGATGGTGACATTGATGATGATGATGAGCATGAGCATGATCC